CCGAGAAACCCACTCCAATGCTCGTATTGAAATAGCCCGCACTTGGCCTGATCGGTGACCGCTATTTATACGTGGCCACACCTGACATGATCCGCACCATACCATGTCCACCCATGTTCCTCCTCCATGCACCACCTTCACCATGATCGTGAGCTCTAGAGTGATGTGGGAGAGCCTCTCGATGGAGCAGAAGCACGGCTTTGGCCGGCCTTGCGGCCGACTGGGAGGACCGTCATGTGCAACAGGTATTGGCCGGCTTGCCAGCGAGATCATCGGAGCTAAGCGACGATGACCCGACAATGGAGGAGGCGTCTGACAATGAGCTGGTGCCCGCTCGCGTTGGCCCATGTCGGCTTCACCATAGAGCAAGCACATCACTAGAACCTTGCCCTCCCCGCGCTTCACCAGCTGATAACGAGCGAAATCTATGGTGAGTTCACGAGCACGAAGGCCGCGACAGCCATGCCACGGAGGACCCAGACTTCCTCGACGAGCAGCATGCGTACTATGAGGCCGCACACAACACTCGCGCCGGAGTCAGACGCAGAGGCGGGATGGTGGCACAGGCAATTGCGGACAGACATGATGGCAACTCCACGTCGTTCGCGCTGCGCCGCAACCACGTCTATCGTGAGCCTCACCTCGACCGACGATATCCAGGTCGCGAACTCTGATGAGGAAGAGTATAACATGGGAGACGGGCGTCCATGTCTCATGTGGGCACATCTGTGTCTCATGCTTACTCTTCCTCATCGACCCGCATCTTCACTTCCCGAAGCTCACGACCGGCGAAGATGTCGAACATGGGAAGCAACAATGACTTGGAACACATACGTCAGCAAAGATTTAGACTATTTTAAGTTTCAGACGCTTTTGTTTAATGATGTTTTTTCCAAAATGACATGAATGTGGCCTAGTTTAATGAAAATCATCAGGTTTAATGGAAATGTCATGAATGTGGTCTAGTTTAATGAAAATCATCAGGTTTGCATGAAAGTCGTTTGGGTTCAAAATTGTTTTAAATATGTTCGAACTTTTGAGGTACATAGTTGGATGGCGCCTCTCATACCCATGTCTCTGGACGGATATTGTGTCCATTTTAGGGGTTCGCGTTGGAGATGCCCTAAGTGGGTGCTCAAAAAGAAGTAGACCCGATGGTACTGTTGATAGGTGGAAGGCATGACTTGCGACCAAGGACTAAACTCAAAGAGAAGACAAATATTACTTTGACACCTATTCATATGTGGCTATAGACTGACCACCATTTGAGTACTATTTTTTCTGGTTGTCTTTTATGGTCTTATCACTTATTAAATGGACATGAAGACAACTTCCCTACATCAATAGTTAAAAGAGAAAATCCACATGGATCAACCCATTGAAAATCTATATGACCTTTTTGAAATTTACATTTTTTTGGAGTCTTTTTGAAAATTACTACTCTCATATTTTGGAAAAGGGACAAAGGATTTCAGAATCGATCATCCCCAGTGCAAGCAGGTGGAGCGCCTTGTTCGCTTTTCTTCCTTCCTCTCAAAGAAAAAAAAGGCAATCTCGCCGCTGCTAGGAGTCTCCCCTGCCGCCGCCCTTCGGTGACTCCCCTATGCCGGTGACCTCGATCGTCTGGTGGTGGTGGGGGGGGGGGGTCGCCAGAGCCACGCGTGTGGATCATTCTTTACCCTCGTAGTTTAGGATTTTAGGATGTTCATCGTCTTGGCTTCGACGATGATGATGGCATGCTAAATAAAGTTTGTTTAGATCCTACTCTAACGAGGTGATTGGTCCTATGATTGGGGATGAATTTGGAAATCAGTCTGTCCAAGCAAGAATGGTGTGGCACACGACATCCTTATGTGGACTTGTGTCCTTGAGCTCCGCCGTTAGCGACGATGTTTGCTCAAGCGAGCGTCGGCCCAGAGCTTGGGAGGTAGTCCAGGAACGGATGTAGATTGTGGTCTGCATCGACGGGGACCTGAAAACTGGCGGATCATGTGCTGGGTTCATGGTTTGTGGATGGCAGGTACAGTTTCCTCCTCCAATGTCTGAGGTGTGTGTGTGTGGGGGGTGCAGATCTGGAGTTCAATGGTGTGTCTGGGGTGTTGCCTCGGTCTGATCCGTTCAATGGTTATGGTTTCTCCTTTGACGAGCCACCTTGGAGATCCGCAAAGATGCATATCAGCCATAAATCCGCATCAATCTCGAGTGTTAAGGTGATCCATCATTTTTTCTTTTGGTGGCTGATGTTGTGGTGCCGAAGGCAGGTGACGGACGTTGGTGTCAACTTCAGAGGATTTTTCAGTCTTGATTGTAATTTTACTTCTTGGCTGGTGTTCGTTTGTCCAAAGGCTCGCTGTCTTTTCAGTTTTGCCAGGTCGGCGTGTACGTGCCTTGTACTATGATATTTCTATATCTATACCTAATATGAAAGGGAGGATTGTCTCTTTACTTTTTTGGTCCTTTGGTCCATTTCGTACGTTGGGGCCATCTAGGCATGACCATTGTCTGTCCGAGTTGGACTTTTTTGGCCTACGTTGGGCCTCTTTGTAGGCTTGCATACAAAACCACATTTTTCCTATCATCCCTTTAAGATGATGCACAACAAGTATCCATACATAAAAAAAAATAAGGCACACCACATGAACGGTTGTTGTACAAGAATTGGACACAAGAGTGTCGTACGTGTAGAGGTTCCGTTTAGGTATATATCCCCTGCCCTAAGCTGCCACCTTACATGGCCACCGGATGCCATCATCATTCATTACACACAAGAGATTTGTTGATCGAACGTTCATGCCACCGGGACCGCATTGACGAGAAGAATCTATTCAGACAAAAAAGAGCTCGAATCGTATATTGTGGACGACGAATTTCGACATCAATCTACGCCGGCTGTCACAAGTCTACTTTGTCATCAGTGAGAAAATTTTCAATTACTCGCACCCATCAATTCATCGAGACGTCGTCAACTTTATAGACATTGTCTATCGTTCTATTGTTGTCATTGGCCACATGCACCACGAGGTGTGTCATCCATGAACATGAACCAGATGTTGCAAACCCCATCATCACCTCAACGCGGTCATGGGAATGATGTTTCAGTGCCAACTTTCTGTGCCAACTTTCTGTGTCGATTTGTTAGCCTCATCTTAAATATTCATGTTAGTGAGCCACAAGTTAATCCGCTCTCTAATGCTCTCTTCCCGTCATGTGACTTGATTGTCGATTGTTGACATTAGCTTGTTCAACTAATTTATGTTCTGTTGCCTTCTTTTCCATCGCCCGTTGGCCACTAACTTGCATGTTAACTAATGAGCATGTGTTGCTAATTGTACCCTAGCACCTCTTTTATCTTACCAGGTTGTTTAAGAAAGAAAAAAATAGGTTCTTTGTCGTAGCTACCATCCGTGAGATTATTTTTGATATAGCTATCATGTTTAAAAAAAATGTAATTGTCATGCTCTTCGATGTAGTCCCTTGCAAGTTCCTTTTGATACACTTATCAAAATTTATGAGAGCAACTAACATGTACGAATGCATGCTCAACATATGAACAAATAATATAAATAATCGGGTTGTCAATTGATTCATCATCAAACTTATCTTCAATTTGATAAACCTGTTTAATGACAATTGTTTTTTACATCGCAGCATGCAACGCACGACATATGTGCTAGTTTTTTTTTTTTTTTGAGAATCGACATATGTGCTAGTATTGTTTTTTGAGAATTGACATATGTGCTAGTATTTTCTTTTTTGAGAATCGACATATGTGCTAGTATTTCAAAGAAAATATATATTTGGGAACAAACGGAGTAGACGGCAAGGTCCAATGTTGGGCATTTTTTTTTGTCTTTTTGTTTTTTGAGAAGACAATGTTGGGCCATTCCAGCATCGGATAGACCGATGGGGCCTTGGGCCTCGTTGGGTAGCGGAGAAGTGAGGAGATTGGTGGGGCCAGAGCACACACCGGCCTCAAGCGAATTTAGCGGCTGAAGACTTGGAGAAGAGGCAGAGCAGCTCCACCCCCTCCTCCTCTCCCCGCCGCGCCGATCGATCCACCTCCGCCTGACGTCACGCCTTCGCCTCCTCCCTTCCAGAAGCTTCCACGCGCCATTGCGCCCCACCCCCCACAACGTCCAGAAGGTACGCACCCTCCGTTCCGCACATCGCAACGAGCGCTCGTGGTCGTGGAATCTAGAGAATCCGAGCAAACTTTTGTTAAGATTTCGTAGGTTTCAGTGCCTCACGGGAATGGGTTCCTTGTGCATCGCATCGCATCGCATCGCATTGCATCGCATCGCATTGTTACGCCGTATACAGCATTATTATCACCTCGCCTTGAAGACACATAATACTAGAAATATTAGTGTATCCCTTTTCAGTTCTGCCCCAAACTAGCGGAGTACACCCGTGCAGTTGCGCGGCCAGATTCTACTAGGTTTTAATTTCTTGCTCTATCAGATGGTACTTTTGATGACTGCAGAATTAGTTGTATTTCTTGCTCTACGTCATAGCTCTCGTATATATGTTGTTTGGAAACCAATCAGGAGATTTGATTGCTTATTGATTAGCAGAAGGAAAGAGGAGCATGCACAATTTTTTACACCTAATTTTGATGCATGCTTTGTATGCTACTATGCAAGTGCGCGTACCAGCACTTTTAGAGAACATGCAAAAGCTTTGCATTTCAGGTGGCCATCTTTATGAATGATCTTACTTTACCAAACTGCTTAAATGCTTCATACTTTGCCAGTTGATATTCCATTTGTTATTGGATTGATTATACAATGGACCTGAACAGATAAAAAGGCTAACAATCTAACATGCAATTAGCTCCTTGTATGTAAAGAATCTGCATTATATACAATCCGCACTGGATTTTCAGTTTTTGTTTACAGCATGAAATTATATTTTTCAGGGTTCTCTCTTCAAGGCATCTTTAATCTGTAGCCTTCCTCCCATAAGCTAGTATATAGCTGTCAGGTCGCCCTTGAACAAGTATGAATCCTTATTTTGTTGGCCTTCTTGTGCCCATCGCGGTCTCTCTTCTGCTCCAGAAAAGGAGAAAGGTTGAAAAGAAGAGGGGTGTGCCAGTTGATGTTGGTGGAGAGCCTGGCTATGCGATCCGCAACCATCGGTTTGAACGCCCTGTTGAAACACACTGGGAAGGGGTCAACACACTTGCTGAGCTGTTTGAGCATGCTTGCAAAGAGTATCTCTACATGCCCCTCCTTGGCACAAGGAAGCTCATTTCAAGGGAAATAGAATCATCACCTGATGGGAGGTCCTTTGAGAAGCTTCATCTGGGGGAGTACGAGTGGAAATGTTACGCTGAGGCCTTCAAGAGTGTTTGCAACTTTTCTTCAGGATTGGTCAATTTAGGTCGCCAGGACAATGAGCGTGTTGCTATTTTTGCTGAGACACAGGCTGAGTGGCAGATTGCACTGCAGGTAATCCCTTTTGTTTTTCCTGCAAGCAATAGATAGATCAATCCATGCATTTTGGTCTCTTCATGCGGTACTACATGAGGTTCTTACTTTTGGTTACGTAAATTGTGGTCACTGGTCCACTTTATATTGTGAACACATCTGTGTGCAAAAGAATCATAAATTAGTCAGGGTTCCTGCATAGCAAAGTGAATTATACACTGACTGCGAATTCGAAATGAATTCTCAAGGCATCTTTTCCTCTCTAGCTACGCAGTGAGTCCAAGTGCTGCTCACTGCCAAAATTTCTCTATAAGCAGTATCAACTACAAAAAGGATATCCTGTCACCATATGTTCTTTTCTTTTTCATTCTCATGTAAAGTGAGGACCGAAATTTCATAGATATCAATGGCTAGCCCAATCTTTCATTATTATTATGCATGGATAGAAATTTCATAATTATCAATGGCTAGCCCAATGTTTCATTATTATGATGCATGACTGGATGACAATAGTAGTTGTGGTGGCAGATTTCATGTGATGCATGGAGACTTGGGATACAGGTCGTACACCAATTTTATTTAGAAGAGAGAGTATATACACCAAATGATAATAAATATATTCCTATTACTATCTCTGTTTCACTATAACTGTTCCCAAGCCAGCATGCGTACAGACCAACGACATTTTAATTTTGAGAAAATAATAATGAGAAATGTCCATGCTCAACCCTTTTAAATGATATTCTAGGACACTTTAACCTCTCCAGTAATACAAGTAGGTATAGAGAGTTTTTTATATGTACTTTTAAGTTATTGGTTGGATCGTGTTACTTAACTTCTATACCAATTCAAAGTTGGTTCCTCTGCACAAACATTTATTCTGGTAGCTATTCATTGTATGTTGAATTCTGGTCATTGTACTCAATTTCGAAGTTACTATTTTTGTATTTGCAAGGCATGCTTCAGACAAAACATAACAGTTGTCACCATCTATTCCTCGTTGGGGGAGGAAGCACTATGCCACTCACTAAATGAGGTTAGTACTGTCACTTTGTGTTCAGTATGTTGTACAATTACTCCTAATTAAGTTTTTCTTCCTTCATGTTTATATAGACAGCAATTATAGAGTATAGACCTCTTGTAGCATTTTCGCTGTAGATAAGCAACAAATACTTTTCAGCAATTGCTAGCACACCCCCAAGATTATTGCTGCATGTAATTAACTCTTTGTTTGATTTACATTTATTTATTTCCCCTCTTTTGCTCTACAGACTGAGGTCACTACTGTAATATGTGGTCGGAAGGAATTAAAGAAGTTGATTGATATAGGTTGGCAACTTGACACTGTCAAGCGTGTGATCTACATCAATGAGGAAGGCATCTCGGCTGAAGTTTCTATAGCTCAAAACAGCACTAGCTGGTCAGTTAAGTCATTTGAGGAAGTAGGTAAATTGGGAGCTGAAGCACCTGTTGATGCAAACATGCCTCTCCCATCTGATGTTGCGGTGATAATGTACACAAGTGGTAGCACTGGATTGCCCAAGGTTTGACTTTGGTTGTTCATTATTCTGAAAATATGTTTTTGTTTGCATGACTCAAAAGTCCCTTTCTATTCTTGTTTAACCATATCTTCAGCTATGAACTACTCCCTCCGTTCACAAATATAAGATATTCACTTATTTCTGATTCGGATGTATATAGACGCATTTTAGTGTGTTTGTTCACTCATTTCAGTCCGTATGTAGTCCATATTGAAATATCTAAAACATCTTATATTTGTGAACGGAGGGAGTAATATATACCTCATATGGTGTTGTAGGGAGTTATGATGACCCACCGCAATGTCCTGGCTACACTTTCAGCAGTTATGACCATTGTGCCTGAACTTGGCAAAAAGGATATATACATGGCCTACCTCCCACTGGCGCACATTCTTGAGTTGGCAGCTGAGGTAACTGTTGGATATCATTTCAATATATTAATATTTGTGTTCATTATTTAATTCTCTGTCTGCAAATATTATGATTTATAGACACTTATGGCTGCTGTTGGGGCCTCCATTGGATATGGATCAGCTTTGACCCTGACTGATACATCAAGCAAAATAAAGAAGGGGACCCTAGGCGATGCTTCTGCACTGAGGCCGACACTGATGACTGCTGTACCTGCTATACTTGATCGTGTCCGTGATGGTGTGAGAAAAAAGGTATTTCCCACTACGCTATTGGGATCTTGTACTCTCATTTGTTTACTGACTGCTAGCCTTTACACTGAGATGGTTTTAGGTGGATGCAAAGGGTGGTGTAGCGAAGAAATTATTTGACATTGGATATAGCCGCCGACTTGCTGCTATCAATGGAAGTTGGCTTGGTGCATGGGGAGTAGAGAAACTGTTGTGGGACAGGCTTGTCTTCACGAAGGTGCGTGCAATATTGGGAGGAAATATTCGCTTTGTACTCTCAGGTGGAGCACCCCTGTCCGGAGACACTCAGAGATTTATCAATATATGCCTTGGGTAAGATTATGTAACCATCATTCATGCTGTTACTAGAAACTTTCCAACTACCCTAGTTACAATGGCAATACTGTATGTTTGTTTCAGCATGTTTAAGTCCCGTATTTTGATAGGCTTATGCAATTTCAGGGCTCCAATAGGCCAAGGGTATGGTCTGACTGAAACTTGTGCTGGAGGAACGTTTTCTGAGTATGATGATACATCTGTGGGCCGTGTTGGTGCTCCACTACCTTGTTCATATATTAAGGTTAGATAACAATGTTGCCTGATTTTTTCAGCATTTGAGCTGGACCCAGTTTTGACTTTTGACATCAAAGCTGTTCTTCCCACTCCTACAACTTACTCCCTCCGCTCCTAAATAGAAGTCTTTTTAGAGATTCCAATATGGACTACATACGGAGCAAAATGAGTGAGTTAACACTCTAAAGTATATCTATATACATCCATATGTAGTTTGTATTGAAATCTCTAAAAAGACTTATATTTAGGATCGGAGGGAGTATATGATTACTATTTCCAAATTTTGACATCTGACAAGGCCAGTGTATCCAAATTTTGATATCTGAAAAGGCCAATGTATCCAATTTTTTATATCTGGCAAGGCCAATGTATCCAATTTTTGATATCTGACAAGGCCAATGTATCCAAATTTTGATACTGACAAGTCCAATGTATTGAAGATATGTCTTAACAAGAGGAATTAAGTTGTTAATTTTCTTCTTTGTGATACCATAGTTTATGCTTTGGCATTTCTTCCTTGACCTGTTACTTAATGGGATATCTGACCTATTACCTCACAATTCTTGACACAATGTCAACTGTACCTTTCAGTTGATTGACTGGGCTGAAGGCGGATACTTAACAACGGATTCACCAATGCCTCGGGGGGAGATAGTCATCGGAGGTCCCAATGTAACTAAAGGTTATTTCAAGAATGAAGCTAAAACAAGTGAAGTCTATAAGGTATGTTGTCAATTTGTTACTGATCTGTTCACACACCAAATCATACTTCATCATTAATGAGTAATGACTTCTATTTCACAATAATAATTGATCTAACACACGCCTCTTATAACTTGTGTAGGATGATGAAAGAGGTCTACGATGGTTCTATTCTGGAGACATAGGGCGTTTCCATCCAGATGGCTGCCTTGAAATCATTGACCGCAAGAAAGATATCGTGAAGCTTCAACATGGTGAATACGTATCTCTCGGGAAGGTAAGAAATATTCTTGCTCTGGTGAGATAAGTTTCTTGTAGCACTTATATTAACTGATTGGATGACACAGGTGGAAGCTGCCTTGGCTATGAGCCCATATGTTGAGAACATCATGATCCATGCCGATCCTTTTCACAGTTACTGTGTTGCACTTGTGGTAGCAGCACAGAATGAGCTTGAAAGGTGGGCATTGCAGCAAGGACTTGCATACACCGATTTTGCTGATTTGTGCCAGAAGCACGAGGCTGTTGTAGAAGTGCTTGAATCTTTAACAAAGGTTTGTTTCTGTGTTGACCTCAGTCAACTTTCGGGTTTCCATTACACATAGATCATACTTGACTCGGTACTTCTCCCAGTGTATGTATTTAAATGCAAACTAGCAATCATACATATTTACCATCCATGTCATATCTTAGCATTGTTTCTAAGTTCATCTTATAAGTCTTTGAAAGAAAAGAAGAGAAACAAGAGTATATGTATTTTGAGGATATAGTACATGACTTCATGTGCAGTTTGCTTTGTTACAATTTCCCAATAAAGCCATACATCATCGAGCATGTGTTTCAGAAGCACTTACATCTTTACTATTGTAAAGAGTAGTGAAGGCATTTGTGGTTGCAACTTCCATATAAACATTGACCATACATGCACACACTCTTCCATCAAAGATAATTGCATCCTCTAGTCCAAGAGCAAGTTGAGAGTTGCAGTCAGGCAAATCCTGCATCCTGTTGGGACGACAGTTTCCAGTACTGACATCCATTTTCTGTACTCCAGGCTGCGAAGCAAGCACGACTGGAGAAGTTCGAGACACCAGCCAAAGTCAAGCTGATACCAGATCCATGGACCCCCGAGTCGGGCCTCGTCACGTCTGCGCTCAAACTCAAGAGGGAGGTGATCAGGAAGACGTTTGAAGACGATCTGGCGCAGTTGTATGCCTGATGGTTCTCTTCTCTGACTGATACCCTGAGATGACATAGGACTGGGCTCTTATGTCAAAACATACTATATTGATATATTTTGATGTCAGGGTAGATTGGATCATTGAGGGAGTCCTGGAATTTTGGAGTGTCTTGTCTTACACTTAGAAGCAATTTTGTGTTTGCGTAGTTGTACACTTACTACCAATGCATCTACCATAATTGCACCGAATTTTGATTGCATTGTAATCTCTGATCGAAAGATAGCGGTTATCATCTTCTAGAGCCGGGATCTTTTCTATCTCTTCTACTTATAAAGATTCGAGTTGGCGGTTCACTCTGTTCTTCCTGTCTGTCTATTCTTGAAGTACACTGTTCTTTTTGTCTTAGAACTCGTGGTGTCGAGGAAAAAGGACTGAAGTTCTTATGTTCTCAGCGACTTAAGAGGCGTCAACTACACATTACAAACCTAAGGTGAGATATTATCGGTATCCCCGTGATCAACTCTTTGATCACCATACCGATTATACTTGTTACTGGTTTTGTTCTCTTTACTTGTATCCGTATTTCGGTATCAATGTGATCTCAATCACATGTATCTGGCAGACGATAATGATAATGTAATACCGAGTGGGCCCAAAGAGTATCTCTCTATCATCAGACTAAATCTCAATCTTGAATGTGATGTTTGACAACCCCAAAGTAAGCACCCTGTATGTCAGTCATACCATATTCTAATGGTCTAAGGATGTATCAGTTTATATGAAAATACCGACAACGTGATAACGATGTGATCTCTTAGTAATTCATGAGTTGGGTTTATCCAACATCATTATTCTGATAACAATGTGTTCTCATTATTGATACTAGCACATATGTTCGTGCGTTGCAACGGGAGTTAAAATAGTATGCATGTAAAGTCAGTGAGAATTATATGTGCAAGCAAAACACTGTGCATACCAAAAAATGAACATTTAGCTTCTCGATTTCGCCATGTGTGAAGGAATGAATCCGCAATTTTTCCATTCATTGATCGAGGCCATTTAAAAGTTTTTTTACGTCATCGTACGCGAGAGAGAAGGCCCACGAGTTATTCAATCTACTTTTCCTTTCAATCCTTTCAATCGAGGGGATTTTAAGGTATGAAGTTTCTGAATATTCTAGGAAACATGAACAATTTTTTAAATCCGGAACAATTTTTTGAAAATTATGTACACTTTTGAAAAACAGGAACAAAATATGAAAGGGATTATCTTTTTAAATTCACAAACATTTTCTGTAAACACCAACTTTTTTTATAAAAACATTAACATTGTTTGACTTTTTGAACATTTTTTCAAAACGGGAACATGTGTTAAAAATTCATAAGATTTTCAGAAAATGTGTATCTTTTATACAAAACATTATTTTTAGTTGTGAAAATTTCACTAAAACAAGAATATTTTTGAATTTGGAGCATTTTTGAAATGCCATTTTCTTTTTTGACATCTCAAACAATTTTGCAAAACAATAATGTTTTATTGAAAAATGGGAAACTTTTTGCAAGTTCGAATATTTTTCAAAATAGCAACAAAAATTTGGAATTCTTAACATTTTCAACAAATTGTTTTTCTTAAGTCTGGACTTTTTTGAGAACTTTTAATTTATGAAAAAATTTCTTAAAGAAAAATAAACTTGGAACGGAAAAAAGAGATAGGGAAAGGAGAATAAAAATAGAAGTAAATTACCGAAACAAAGAAAAATGGGCCAGCCCAATATTGGTTGTCAGGTGTGAAAGTCCGACTAAATAACATGAACATTATTTGAATTTGTGAACATTTTTTTAAATCTGAAATGTGTTGAAAATTCATAAGATTTTTAGAAAATGTGTATCTTTTATACACAAATATTATTTTTTATTATGAAAATTTCACTAAAATAAGTTTTTTTTGAATTTTTGACCATTTTTTGAAATGCCACTCTCTTTTTAGACATCTTGAACAATGTTGAAAAACAATATTTTTATTTGAAAAAATAGGAAACTTTTTGCAAGTTCCTAATATTTTTCAAAATAACAACAATTTTTTGGAATTCTGAACATTTTTCAAAAATTGTTTTTTAGCTATGAACTTTTTTGGGAATTTTAATTTATGAAATAAATTCTAAAATGAAAATAAACTTGAAAGGAAAAAAGAGAAAGGAATATAAAAATAAAAATAGAAGTCAAATAGAGAAACAAAGAAAAATGGCCCAATATTGGTTGTGATGTGCGAAACTCGACTATTTGTCGCCCTGTGAGGAAATTTGAATTTTCTTAGCTGCGTGTGCAGGAAAATAACTGGGCTGGCTTCGTTGGCCCATAGTGCGCGTCCCATGTACGAAAATTCCTTTTCTAGCAGACAAACGCATAAAAAATTAGTACCACCTCGGATAGAAAAAAATTCTATTCGGCGGTGAATGGATGAAAAATTTGACGAAACGCACCTTGCTTTATTAGTAGGTAGGTATAGACTATACGAATGCTCATGATCAGGAAAACAAGATCATCATCAATACACAAGCTAGTCTTGAGGCAAGGGCTTGGCTGCCTTCAACAAGGCACAATGGCATCGTCCCCGGGCCCGGAGATGACGGAGCTCGAGGAGCACGACCGCTGTGGTCGTTGCTTCCGGCCGATAGAAGATTTGGGACTAGATCCGGCTCTTCGGATCCGGTGGCTGCTGCGGCTCACTAACGCCACTGTGCAAGGGGTTCCTTCAACTACATGTGAGCTGCTCATTCGTGTTTTTTTCGGCCTCCGACAGCGGTGGCTTGTCTTGACGCAGCGGAGCAGTACAATCACCGGAAGCAGAGAAGACCAAGGATGTCATTGCAAAATTTCTTTGTTTGGGGTCTTCTGTGATGTATGTCGAAGCCAGATGTACGGCTTATATCCTTCCTGTATTTTCGTATTTGTATGTGTGCTTTCTAGGGTATGTGTAATGTTTTCCGACTCGTATTAATACAAGTAACGTATGCCTACGAGCGTATGTTTTTTTAAAAGGACATGAGTAGGGATCATATTGATGTTTATGTTTCGACATATGCAATTGAGTTTTACTCCAAATCTGTATTCAAGAATCAATGCCATTTACGCACAAAGATATAACTTAATTATGAACATGAAAATATAATACATTTTTTATTGCCTCTAAGGCATATTTACAACACCGGAGCCTTAACCCCCTACAATCTGGAGAGGGGATGGATCCGCGGCCCACCTGGTGGCAGATCCACACTCCTTGGTGGCAGCCAGAACATGCGAGGTGGCCAGTCCCATGGCAGTGACCCGTGTAGATCCGGCTAGGGTTTGGAGGAGAGCCCGCGCTGGACCGACGCCTCCAACGAGCAAAAGGCATGGGGAGAACAACACAAAGGCCTATGCCGGCGCCAACAAGTTCGCCCCATGCACTTGCATGTCAGTGGACATCGTCCACCATGACAGACTGGATCCACGATGCCACTTGTTCAGCCGGCTTGAGCACAATGGGCCACGGTTGCGAGTCGATGCCATGGACCTCACTACGGCGAGAGAGCGGCAGGACACCCCTCTGATACGTGTCAAACGTATCGATATTTTTTATATGATTCATGCTATATCGCTACCACTTTTAAACACTTCAGCCATGTTTTTTTATCAATTTTTATTGGGTTGCCTTATTAATCAAG